TCAACCGCGTCGTCATATCTAATTGCTGGACCTTGGCTGCAGTTGCTGCAGTGAACAAGCCCTCGTCCGAACCAGTTAGGATGCCCAAGGCCCTGAGGCAGGCCCTTTTTCGGATCAGGCCCAGAAAAGCCTATGACAATGATCTCTGTGCCGTCATAGTCTTCGCTGTCGTTACGAATCCAAATATCTCCGAGACTAGGTGCAGCTTCCTTCATGGCATCGGCAACCTGCTTTGCAGCTGCGGACGCGTCGTCCATGTTGCCCAGCTTCCCTGCGCGCCTCGAGTCCAGCCGCCATGCCGAGCGGACACCTGGGCAAACGAGCAGGGCCAAAAACAACAAGGGTTGGAATGGAATGAGCCACTGCACGGAGGATTGCGCCGGGTGCAAGCTCGCAAGCCACCAGCATCAGGTCGCGGCAGGGGCCCGTCCCATCTGAGCAGCCGCACCGTCTTGCCTTGGCCCAAGCCTCGTCATGGGCGACCCGTTGCCGTTCTTGGAACGTTCCTGAGTTGCGCTGTGCTGGGTCTCGACGCACAACAAGTTTTTCCCTACGGTCCGCATCCTGGCCTGGCCACACGCATTGTGGGCGGCGATTGGCGGCGTTGGACGCCAGCATCCAATTCGCCACTGTTGCACACCGTGGATCGATTGTTTTCGTTCTCGGGGTGCGGTCGCATCTGGCCGGCTTTGAGTCGCAAAGACTCTGGCTCCGCATCATGTCTAGAAGCCGCTCGCCACGGTGGGCGTTGGACTTTTGGAATTTGGTGTGCTCGATCGTGATGAAACAAAGCACAGGGGCTGTCCGTTGTCTGTCGAGACTAGAACGGCTGCCGGAGCTTGGATTTGGCTCCACCTGCTGCTTTGGGCGGCTCAGAGCGACGGCGCTTTGTTGCTTCGGATCGGTCGCTGAGGCTTCGTAGTTGCTGAACGGCTTCCACCGGCAAAGCCTGTGCGCCGCAGCTTGCAGAGCTTCGCTTTTGTCTCACTGTTTTGTAGTTCTGTGCTTTGTTGTTTGTTAGTTTGCTTGTAGGGACCGAGTGCTACAGCCGTAGTCGACGAGGCCCATTCACGCCAAAAAAAGTGACATGCAACGACTGCTCAACAGCTGGCCGCACGATGGAGCGGCTGGCTCCTCCAGGTGACCTCCGCCTTTTGACGACCGTGGGACTAACGACATACGTCGTTGTGTCGATACCCTTCCCAGCTGTACGCAAGGGCTACATGACCCGGACCGAGACCGAGCTCAACTGGGCGGCTGGCGGGATCTCGCCGCCTTGTCGAATAGACGCCGATAGTGCAGGCCCGGCGGCCAGAACACCTGGCAATGGTCTGGTATAGCTAAGTGGTGACGGACCTCGTGAGGCACGTCGCTTCACCTCTAGAGAAGTCTCCAGGTGATGCCGCGGCAACCGACGACACACGTCGTTGAGGTTCATTCACTATCTTTGCTGCTCTTGCTCTGGCACGACGACCGCCGGAGTCTTGTTTGGGTCGGTGTGCACTTTCGCGATGGCTGCTTTTGGCCGCTGCTTGCCCTGATTGCCAATACACTTGGCTTTGCAAGTACGTCGTCTGGTGGTGACGGACCCCCAAAGGTTGGTCGGGTCGTCTCTGACCGACAAAGCTTTCTTGTGGGAGCCGCTGAAACCGACGACATACGTCGTTGAGGTTCTTCTCCCTCCATGTTACTCCTGAGTGGGTGCTATAACCACTGCGTGGGAACCTGGGCCCGGGGTGCACGCTCTACTTGGGCGACCCATTATTGGGACTTTAGGGCGATCCTTAGCTTGCGCTGGGGTTTCGACGCACAACAAGTTATTCCCACGGTCTACATCCTGCCCGGCCGTTGTGCTGTGGCAGCGATTGGTGGCCGTTGGTCTCTTGCATCCAAGACGCCACTGTTTTGCACACCGAGGATCGTTCGGTTTCGTCCTTCGGAGTGCGTTCGCATCTGGCCGGCTTTGAGTTGCACGACTCTGGCCACCGCATCAGATCTGGAAGCCGCTCACGCTCACCGCAGGGAGCATTGGACTTTTGGATTTTGGTGTGCACGATCGTGACGGAACAAAACACAGGGGCTGTCCGTTGTCTGGCGAGACTAGAACGGCTGCCGGAGCTTGGTCTTGGCTCCACCTGTTGTTTTGGGCGGCACAGAGCGACGGCTCTTTGTTGCTCCGGACCGGTCGCTGAGGCTCAGTTAGCGCTGAACGGCCAACACAGGTAAAGCCCGTGCGCCGCAGCCCATTCGTAGAGCTTGCCCTGTTTGGGCAGTGAAACGTACCAAACGAATTGTTCCCTGGAGGCTGGGGGGGGTGGGGGGGATGGCAGGGGCGCGGCGATTCTATCAGATGTACGCCCGGCCACTGCGGCCTCGGTCCACAGCCTTGCGGTCATGTTGTCATGCAGCCTCCAGCTCTGTCAGTTGCGCTTTTGTTCAGTCATGTCAGTCATGTCAGTGCTTGCATGTTCTTCAGTCTCTTTTAGGCATGTCAGTTTTAAGGCTTTTTCAGATGGCCGTTTTCTTTGGGCCATAAAACCTTTTCAGCTTTTATCTTTGACTTTTCAAACCATCTCTGGAGAGATTTGCGGAATCCGATCTTTGCATCCGATACATTGCGGACCAATCGGGAGGGGATCTTAGAAATTTTAGTTACGGGGGGGCGCCTTTCAGGCTTCTTCGCGCAATGGCATTATATGATGGAGGATAGGCTCTGGAATCTTCTTGAAGATACCGGCTGCACTTGCGTGAGGGAGCTGCGTTTGCATTTTCAGACTCCTTGGCACCTGGCCTGCTCAGTGGACAGCTTAGAGGATTCAGTGGTCCTTGCCGAGCAGATCATTCCGTCTGCCTTGCCCTCAGACCATAAGAGAGCTGGCGCGCTTATCTGGGGCTGGCTGCGTGATCATACTGACTTGTTGAAGCGGGTGCAAGGTAGGCTAAAGACGAAGGCTACAAGGATTGTGGCGCCTCCTTGTGGTGATGTTTCTCCTGGTGAGGTTTATGCACAATTGGTGAGCGGCAGCCTTGAGTTAACGAAGCAGACCAGTCGGGCTCATGCGAGATGGATCTCGAGTGGTGCTGGCACGCCAGCTGATGCTGAGAAGGCTGCTAGAAAGTTCTGGGGTACAGTCTTGGTGCAAATTATGGTGGAGGCTAAGCTTCCCATTGTGGACATTCCTGTTGAAAGTGAGGAACAGAGGGTACTGTATGCTTTGAGGGCTTTGGGTACCCGTCGTTCGAAGACTTTGAGGAATCGGGCTCGAGCCTGGCGCAAGGCTCGGGACTGGATGCTTTCTGTGAAGTCTGTCGTGTTTCCGCGGCGTCCGAGTGACGTTGTGGACTATCTCCTCTTCTTGGAGCAAGAGGTGGGTACCAAGAGCTGTATTTCTGAGTTTATGAGCTCCCTATCTGTCCTGGAGGATGCAGGGCAGGTTCCTTTGGCAAACCAGTTGTGCAAGGACAGATTGGTGGTTGCTGCCTCAAAAGGATCAGAGGCAGAAGTTCATGTGGGGGTCACGAGCAAAAAGCAGGCGGCCCCTTTGTCAGTGGCAATGTTGCTTTCTTTGGAGATCTTTGTGGTATCCAGCGGCAATCCATTATATGCTAGATGCCTCATGTGGGCCTGTCTGGTGTGCGTCTGGGCTTGCATGCGTGTGTCCGATCTGCAAGGAATCGACGTTTCTAGGCTTAGGCTTTTTCGTGATGGGCTTAAGGGCTTCCTAGTCAAAACCAAGACGACCGGTCCTGACAAGAAGGTGGCTGAGGTTCCCTTCTTTGTGGGCCGGGATGTGGGGTTGTCTGGTCGTGATTGGCTGCTCGCGGGTTTCGACCTGTGGAAGGGCCTGGGACAGCTGGACAGGACTTTCTTGGTTTTTCAGTCATCCGAAGATTTTGAGGAGCCGATCTTCAAGTTTGCAAAACCGGAGGTCATCAGCAACTACATGCGTTTGATCTGGCGGCAGCTGAGAGTTCCGTTTCGCAAGGTTGGTGAACACGTGTGGAAATCGAGAGCTGAGGGGGTCCTCCTTGGTGACGAATGTTATCTGTTCTGGACGGGCCATAGCATGCGTCATGTTCTTCCAACCATTGCTGCTGTTCTGGAGGTTCCGAAGGAACGGCGCGATTACTTAGGTCGCTGGCACATTGGGTTGCATCAGAGCTCGGATTACATTCACACCTGCCGTCAGATTGTGCATGACATTCAGCGCCGTGTGTGCGACAAGTTGTCTGGTGGTAAACCCGGGTACGATGAGGAGGAGCTGTTTGAGGAGCTGCGCGAGTGGCTCCTCAATCGGGGTTCGGATCCTGATCCGTGGTTGAAGCTTCATTCTGTGATGCGCACTGTGTCTGGCTGCAAGGTATTGAATCAGATTTGGCCTTTATTGGCCGACTTCACCGACGGGACGGACAACGCTGCCCCGGCCCCGCCGGTTTCGAACTTATCCTCGGCTGACAAGGAATCTCCTTTCTGGGTGAGCATCAGCAGGCATTCGGGTCACCGTCGGCTTCACATTAGGAATGGCTGCTGGGTCACTCCGAGCAGTTGCCATCGCTTCGCCGAGGTTTGGGAAGCCGGACCGAATGTTGCTGATAGCTTTTGTAAGCTCTGTTATAAGGAGAAAGCGGATCCGTCCTCGAGTTCGGGGGAGTCTTCGTCGACCGAGCTTGGGGAGCCGGCTGAGGATAGCGGGCTTCCGACTTGAGTTTTCACATCTGAGATCAGACTGTCAGATTCGCGTGTCAGGGCAAAGGTGAGTCAGTTTGCCTTTGTGCTTTCAGTGCCTTTGCGCCGCGTGCTGTCAGTGCTATCAGTTGCAGTTGCGAGAGCAAATCAGATGCGTGAAATGGGCAGTTTTCTGCTCAGTACTTCACGTGTTGAATCTCAGACGACGTGGTGTTGCAAACCACTTTCAGACTTTCGGTGCTCCTTTGGGGGCTGTCAGATTTCAGTCTTTCAGTGCTGTCAGTCTCTTAGCTTTGCGCGACCCGGGGCGGCAATGGCGGCCGATCCTGCGGCACAGCGTCAGTTCTTGAAAGATAACGTCGATGCTGACTTTATCTTCCTTCTGGAAGAGCATGGTGTTGACTTAGCGTTGCAGTATGCCATTGGTCAGCACTACAAAAGCATCAGGACGTTTGCTGCTTTTGCCGATGATAGGGGGGCGGCTCGGACGGCCATCACTTCTGACTTCGGCGTTCGAGCTGAGAGTGCTGCGGATCGTGCTCGGATGGCATGTGTCATCACTTCTTGGGAAGCTGCAAAATTGATTCGCGAGGAGGAAGCCAAGCTTCGTGCTGAGGCTAAGGTGTTGGGTGTCCAGAAGCCCCTCGTCTCGTCCGATCGAGCGGCTATGCGTGCTGCCTTGGAGACGGTAAGGGGTTACTCTGTTCCAGAATCTGAGGAGCCTGCACCTGAGTATCTCGCACACAAGCTTGAGCAGATTGAGAATGGCGAGCCTACCGCTAGTTATCTTGATGAGGTGATTTCGCGTAAGGAGTCCAACTCTTTGCAGCTTCAAACTTCACTGGACAATCAGGGCCGCCTTCGGGTTATGCGCCAGAAGCCCAAGGGAAAACTCCCGCAGAACACGGAGGAGCTCCGGGCGAAGATCAGGCTCGAGGCTTCAACTTGGGTGATGTTGGCCGCGAAATGCCGTGGTCGTGCTTATTTGCAGGGATTGCAGTTGTCACATTTTGATCGTTTCTTAGAATATCTTCTGGGAGACAAGTGCTACAGCATGCAAGTCGCATCGGCGGCTCCCATGAGTTCTTCTGCACATGCTGATCGTCACACTTTGTCTGTGCCCTGGAATATCTTGCTTCAGTATGAGTTTGAGCTTCGCAAATGGGCTATCAAGGAGGCGCATCGTTCGAGTGCTCCGCTGGGGGACAAGCTGCATGAGGCGACCACCAACACCGAGCTCAAGGAGCTCCATTTTACGTCACAGGTGGCATTGTCTCGACGCTCGGGCGGCGCCGACCCTCCCCCGCCAAAGTGGCCTCGCAAAGGTGACGGCAAGAAGGGGGACAAGGGCGGCAAGGACAAAGGTGGCAAGGATGGAAAGGGCAAGGCCGATGGCAAGATCAAAATCGGCGAGTCATGGTTCGATCTGGTGTCAAAGACGCCGGATGGGCGTGAGTTGTGCTACGCTTACAACATAAAGCGTGGGTGTCAGGTCAAGGGCTGTCAGCGAGTTCACGCGTGCAGAGTCAAGGGTTGCCAGGCGAACCACCCGGCATACCAGCATGGCGCGCAGGGCGGCTCCTGACTTCGTCGTGATGCTTTTAATTCAGTTTCGGATTCCACTTCGGGTGTGCGCCCTTCGCTGCGGGTCCTCTACTTGTTTTCTGGTCCCACTCGAAAGGCGGATGTTCGCGCCGGGCTGGAGGTCTTATGCACGTCACAGAACATCCTTTTGGAGATGTCCGAAGTCGACATCTGCCGTGACCCAAGTATGGATCTGTTGGACTCTGCAGTGGCTGATCGGTGCTTGCTTCAAGTCCAAAATTCGGAATGGGACGTGGTCTTGGTGACTCCGCCCTGCAATACCTTTTCTCGGGCACGATGCGTACAGCCGGGTCCTCGGCCACTGAGATCACGTATTTACCCTGCGGGTTTTCCTTGGCTTTCGGACTCACATCGTGCTGCAGCGGATAACGGCAATCAGTTCGTTTCTTTCTCTTTTCAGATTTGCACAGCTGCGCTTTCGAATTCTATTCCTTTTCTGTTGGAACACCCAGAAGACCTGGGTATGACAACCACCGGTCACACACCGGCATCTATCTGGCAACTTCCAGAAGCTGCTGCACTTTTTACGCACGAGCAGGTCGGGACTTTTGCGATCTATCAGTGCCACTACGGAGCCCACACGCCTAAGCCCACCAGGTTTCTTTCTTCTATCACAGCCACATTTGGCATGCGATTCATGGGGCCTCCTCGTTTTGATTCTGCGGACAAATATCTGGGGCCTCTGCCCAAGTACTGTGGTCACCGACACTCCAATCGTCTTTTGGGTGCCGCCAACACTGCTGCTGCTGCCGCTTATCCGCCTGATTTATGCAAGGCTATCGCTTCCTGGACCTTCTCCGTCTTCGATGGGGGAGGAGGTGCACCCTCGGTGGCTACGGTTCCTGAATCTGCTCACTGCTTTCAGTTCCCGGCTAGGGAGGTTGAGGTTAGAGTGAATTCTTCACAAGCGGAGCAATTGGCTGCAGTTTGCTTGGGAAAGGGTCGGATCTCTCGGGATCAACTTCTCCGCCTTTCAGAGCTACTGCCGGATGAGGATCGAGTCAGGCAGTCCAGCAAAGAAGTCAGCGGCCAGCGATCTTTCACGACGGGCGCTTACACCCACCAAGACAAGGTGGGGCTCCGGCGCAACATTGATGTTTTCCCTTTGGCATCGGAGCTGCTGGCACGCCTCGTGTCTTGCGGTTTCCCTGATTGCGCCTTCACTTCATTAGCATTCTTTCGTGACCTTAAGCAGCCCCCCCATAAGGACACCACGAATGGTCCATTCAACAATTTGTTGCTGGCCTGTTCGGAATTTTCGGGAGGGGGCCTCTGGGTTCAGTTTGAGGGAGGTCCGGTTTCTCGTTTGATTAACGGCTCCTGGACCCCTGGACGCATACTGGAATGGGACGGGGGCAAGATTGTCTTCGATCCCCATGTCTGGCATTGCACTGAAGATTGGACGGGCTGCAGGCTGGTCTTGGCTGGATATACCATTGCGAACGAGGACCGGCTTTCTCCTGCCGACCGGGACAAACTTGGATCCATGTACTTCGAGCTTCCGGGCAAACGTAAGAGGGGATCTGCTGAGTTCTTGATCGACACGGAGGAGGCCACTACTGTACCTGAGCAGGATGACATTCCATTCAGTGAACTGAAGTCTGGTTGCGAAGGACCACCGATGGTGGGGGACTTTGCTGGGTCCTCGGATGAGTTCGTCGATGGGTTTGGTCGCTGCTCCCCTGGTCGATGGAAGCCATGCAACCGGGGCACGGCGATGTCCGCTGAAGCCTTGGACTTTGCGCAGCGCTTGAAAGAGAGGGTCAGGATGTTCGTCGTGGAATGTGTTCCGGACTTGGCGAAGTCGACTTTTCGTCTGGCGACGGGACACTGGAACGGGCCGCTCTTTGATCAGAGTCGCTTGGAAGAACTGAGGGAGGACTGGTTCAACATGCTGCCGGATCCCATCCGGGCTCGAGAGATGATTCCTCATCAACCCTTCTTCTTGAGGGCGATTGCTCAGACTCTTCGGATTCTTGGAGACCCAGACTATCGCATCATCGAGGAGGGGAAGTTCTGCTTCGTGAACGGTGTCGAGGTGGGGCACACGGCGCCATTGGGGCCAGTGCCGCAGGTGTTCCGGATCCGCAGAAAAGATCAGAAGTATGACGAGTCAACTTGGCAGCCGTTGATGCAGAACTACCGTGATGGGGCTGAAGTCGAGAAGGCCTTGGAGGAGGCTTTCACCAAAGAAGAGGCGGAAGGACGCATGTTCCCTCTTTCTTTGGCTGAGGCGAAAACACGCTTCCCTGGGCCTGCGCTTCGCATTGCCGCTCAAGCCGTGATTCCGAAACCTGACCATGAGTTCCGTGTGGTCCATGATGGGACCCACGGGGTTCACGTCAACAATGAGATTGTTATGCTTGACCGTCTTGAATCGCCTGGACCGAGAGAGATCTCTTCCATTCAGAAGCTGGGCATGGTGGCAGAAGAGAAAGTCTTGTTCGGGCTCGTGGGAGACGTGAAGAAGGCGCACAGGCGATATTTGCACCATCCAGAGCATTGGGGGGTGCTCGCTTGTAGGACGAGGAGCGATTCATCAGTTGTATGGCTTAACCGCGCAGGAACTTTCGGAATTGCTTCGGCGGCCTATTGGTTCGCCCGCTTGATCGGTCTGGTGGGTCGCTTGTCTCTCAGAGTTATGCTTCAGGCTTTTGTTTTCATGCTTATATATGCAGACGACTTACACCTTCTCAGCGGCGGTTCGGATCGATGGCTCAACCTCTGGATGTCCCTTGCGCTTTTGTGTATGCAGGGTACACCCTTCTCGGAGAAGAAGTGGCGCGGGGGACTGCAGCTTGATTGGGTCGGTTACTGGATAGATTATGGCCGCTTTAAGCTTGGGATTTCGGAGAAGAGATGCCAATGGATCATTCGATCGATTGAGGGCATGGAGGGAGACGGCTGGCTCGTGGACGTTCGCCGTTTTCACGAACTCCATGGTCGGCTAGGCTTTATGTCGCAAATCCTGGTATGGATCAGACCCTTCCTTGCGCCGGGCTACGCATGGCTAGCGGTGGTCAGCAAAGGTGCTGTCTTGGCACTGCCCAACTTGATCCGATGCACTCTGCGATTCATTCTTGATCGGCTCCGCGCGGGCTCACGAACGTATCCTGCGGGGCTGGCGGATAAGGATTATGGGGAGCTCTTCAGAACCGACGCTGCCTGCAACTCGGACTCGGTGGTGCTAGGCGGTTGGTTCCTTGTCAGGGGTGTTGTCTGTAAGTCCGCTCCTTGGTTTCAGATTACGCTTCGTCGTGAAGAAGCTCCTTGGCTCTTCAAGGAAGGGCTTGGGAGCTCCTGGGCCAGTACCTCTGCTGAACTGCTATCCTCACTCGTGGCGCTTTATCTGCTGGAGAGGGATTTTCCCGACGTGTTTTCATGTCCTGGTTCCTTTAGGGCCTGCTTTGCTGGTGGAACAGACAACAAGTCGGCGGATGCCATCTCTGCCAGGCTTCTTACGACAAAAGTACCTGTGATGTTTGTGCTGATGGAATACGCTCACCGCTGCGATTCGGCAGGGGTCAGATGTCTCTTGAATTGGAGGCCGCGTGATGCGAATCAGGAGGCGGATAGAATCACGAAGAATGATTTCTCAGACTTCTGTGCGAACCTTCGGGTCGCTGTCAGCTGGAGTGAGTTGAACTTCTCAGTGCTTCCGTCTTTACTTCGATTCGCAAACTTTCAGAGCACTCTGGAGGATGTGCGTGCTTCTGCTTCGGGCGAAGGACAGGTCACTTCTCGTATCCGTTTCGAGAAGAGTCAGTGGGGCTGAGGCGCATGACGATGCCTCTTCGTTGAGAGGGGATTGATGCTTTCGGCATCGTCTCCAGAAAGTTTCATGTGCATGACTGGTATGGGCTGTGCGATCCAAAACATGACGTTGCGCGTTCTTGCTTTCCTTCCCCAACATTCTAAACCCCAAACTCTCGAGCCTTTGAACCTTTAGCCCTTCGGGCGATGGATTATTTAACTACGCCTCCAGGGTACAAGCCCTGTTTGGGCAGTGAAACGTACCAAACGAATTGTTCCCTGGAGGCTTGGGGGGGTGGGGGGGATGGCAGGGGCGCGGCGATTCTATCAGATGTACGCCCGGCCACTGCGGCCTCGGTCCACAGCCTTGCGGTCATGTTGTCATGCAGCCTCCAGCTCTGTCAGTTGCGCTTTTGTTCAGTCATGTCAGTCATGTCAGTGCTTGCATGTTCTTCAGTCTCTTTTAGGCATGTCAGTTTTAAGGCTTTTTCAGATGGCCGTTTTCTTTGGGCCATAAAACCTTTTCAGCTTTTATCTTTGACTTTTCAAACCATCTCTGGAGAGATTTGCGGAATCCGATCTTTGCATCCGATACATTGCGGACCAATCGGGAGGGGATCTTAGAAATTTTAGTTACCCACCCTACCCGCCCTTTTTAGGGTACAACTTTTTCTGTTTCACCGCTTTGTTGTAGTTTTGATTGTTTGTTGTCTGCTTGTTTGTAGGGACCGAGTGCTACAGCCGTAGTCGACGAGGCCCAGTCAAGCCAAAAAAAAGCTGAACGATTTCGCCGACCAAGTCTGTGTGTCGCAGCTCCTGTTTCACCTAGCATTTTTGTACAGCTTATTCATTTCTTGTTAGTTACTCTCTTTCTTACAGGGACCGAGTGCTGCAGCGTGTAGTCGACGAGGCCCGCATACGCCAAAAAAAACCCATACCTCTAGCCCGAGGTGGGCTCTCTGAAAGAGGCGAGGTATTCCGCGACGGCCAGCACGTGGGAGGCCGTCATGAGGTGTGCCTGCATGTGTTCCAGGCAGGGTGCCCGGACACGACATGCCATACACCAGAGCATGTCCACGCTCACCACTGGAGGGGTGCTGTCCTGATGCAGCTCGACCCCTCCGATGTGGTGGCATACAGCCTGGCCGTTGCCGACGGCACCCTCATGCACAAAGGGTCCTCCAACGGGAGCGGTGCCGTCGTCTCCTCTGGAAGGAGTCGCAGGGCCCCAAAGTTGAAGCCCGTGCGCATGTGCAGCCTTTCCAGGACTGGCGCAGACAGTCTGATAACCTGCAGCTGACCGCCGGCCCGGCATTCCACATCGAGGCGATAAAGCCATTCCGGAAGCGGCAAAGGGTTGGGCGGTGGGTTCACCTCTGCCAGGCTCTCGGCCTCCGCCGCCAGAAGCGAATCGGCAACCCCTGCCGGAGGATCTGCAGCGGATCCGGCCGCCTCCCCACCTGTGTCCATTGAGCCAGGGGCCTGCAGCGTGCTTTGGGCAGGCTCCTCAGGTGGTGTGCCGACGGTGAGGGGGCCGTGGCTCGGTGGCCGCAGGCTCGTGCGCCACCTTGGGGGTATGCTTCTTCCCCTTCCTGCGTTTTGTCTTACCTTCCGAGGTCAGGTCCCACGGCGGTTGCTCTTGGGAGATCAGCAGCACGGATGCCCTGTGCTGCAGGAAGAGCGTCACCCATGGTCCCGCTTGGGCCGTGGCCCGGGCCGCCGCTTTCCGGCAGAGGTGGTCGGCCGCGTCATTTACCTGCTTCCTCCAGAGAGAGGCCTCCCCGAATTCAGCGTGCGCGCGGCGATCGCCTCCTTGTAGCCATGGCCAGGTGACCGCCACCGGGCTACGCGGCCGCGGTGGTCATTGCCCTGGGCGCCCGCAGTCCCGTCCGTACCATAGAGGTATTCAGGGGCCCACTCCCTGTTAGCCGCCGCCCCGGTGACCTCCCCGCTTTCCGCGCCCCACGTGTAGCCAAGGAGCTGGGAGGCTTTTGCCAAAGAGGGTCCAAAGACATTCAAAGGGGTAGGTCTCCCTGAGGCATGCCCAATTGGCCGGTGACTCCTGAGCCATGTGCAGGGGAGTAAGCTCGACCCTCAGCCGGGAACGCATGGCACCTTGGTGCACCATCCGCAAGGCGCCGGCGCGGGCGTTGCTTGTCTTGCCTTTGGCCAGCCGGCGCGGAATAGTGAGGTCAATCCCCCGGTCAAGCGCCTCACATCCAGTCTGCCTGCTGATGGCCTCGTGCCGCCTTCTGTCGGCCAAGGCAAGAAAGCACGCCTTGATGGGCTGGTGGGCAAGGGGGTCCAGGGGATTAAAGTTTAAAGGCCATTTGGTGGTTCTCCGCCGGCTGGCCGGTCCGCCGGAAAGAGCCAACGGTGAGGGGAGGAGGCCTCGGCCCTCAGTTCCACCAGGTAGGCGATCATGGCACCCACCGGCCCACAGATGACCTTCCACCGGTCCTTCCGCTGGATTTCAAGTTGCAGAGCTTGGTAGCTGAGTGAGCAATAGTGAGCACACTTTACACTTTTGGGGATAATATGGTCCCTTACACACTTCTTGGGGCTTATCAACTCAGCAACTAAGAGAGTCACACACCCTAGATAAGCTGCTCTAGGAAGCCTTGTCCGGTGCATGGAGGAGTGATGAGTCAGCGGGGTCACCAGGGCCCGTACACCCGCCCTAAAGGAAAGGGCAAGGGAAAGGGTGACAGTGAGCGAGGGCGAGGGACGAGCGGCCAGAAGGGTGACTCGAGTCGCCAAAACAGAGGATGGAGCCAGCAGCGACGCACGGATGGCAGGCAGGAGAACTTCGCTTTTGAGGCTCGCAGTGCCCTGGCGGAGCTCGAAGAGACCCGTGCCGAGCTCATGAACTGCCGTGCAGAAGAGACTGAGGAGGCTGCGAAAAAACGCACGAACAAGCAGAGGCTTCTGACGGCAGGGCGTCTTGGCTCCAGGTTGAAGGAGGAACTGGCTGCGGAGGAGTGGCAAAACGAGGCGTCCTCCAGTCTGAGCTCCAGGTTGCAGGAGGAAGTGAAGGCGGAGGAGCTGCAGAAGCAGGTGTACATGCACGAGCGTGAGGAGGCGAAAGAGTGCCTTCTTGTGCTGAGCTCGCTGAATGAGTCGTTGCTTCGACGGGGCGGGCCGGCTCCCACACCAGCCCGGTCCTCGGATCAAAACAATTCCTCATCAGGCCTGGTCTGCTTCCTTCCTGCCTAGGTTCCTCCATTTCCGATGCCCCCGATGCCGCTTCCGCGACCTCCTGGAGATCCTCAGCTTCTTCCTCAGGCCCCTTTACTCAGATGCTTTCCGAGATTATTGGAAGCTCTCAGAAAAATACTCGGCAGGACCAGCAGCCACTCCGAAGACTCATGACCTTCAACCTGCCAATGGAAGGTGCTCGAGCCAGGAGCTTGTCACATCGTTCTTGTATTCGGTTACTGAAAGAGATTCTATTCTGGACAAAGTGAGTTGCAAGGTCATGGGAATACCAATGATACCTCCAAGCAGAGTCCCTCCTCAGCGTGTTCGGACTCTGCTACATTCGATGGAGAGTCCAGTGCTGATGATGCCTAGGTTCCTGGTCCTCCTCCTGTGCCCTTCGTTCCTTTTGTTGGACCTTGTCGGATGCCCATGTTTCCCGAGGTGGGGGGGCTTAGTGATGCGCCACGATTGATACTGGGGCCCGATCAATTTCATTGCAGGTCCCAAGTGTTCCTGATGAAGTGAAGGCCGGGGGCCCAAGCCTTCAAAGTAGTGGGGGAGGCTTGAGTTCTCGCCGCGATTTACATTTGTGTCCAGGTGAAAGCAGCAACACCGCCTCGCCGCGGAAATGATGTCCCCCCGCAGGTGGGGGCCTTGTATGCTGGCTAGACTCAATTGTCAGGAGGGCCCAATAAACTGCAGGTGGAAGTGGCAGCAGCAGCTTCAGAGCCCGAACACAACGTCCCTGCGAAGGCTGGGTGCATTATATTGGGCAACCAATCAATTGATATGAGCATTCAACGCAGGTGCAGGCAACATTTGGGCTCCGATGTGAGGGTGCTGGACTTCCAGCCACGTACTTGGCTGTTGCTAGTTCTTTCATGGTTACACCCGGACAATCTTCTTGCATGCAGGTGCAGACAGCACGGCTACGGACTACATTAGAAGCAGTTCGCAGCCCAGTGCGGGGCATCCTGCTGGCAACAGTTGATCAGACTCCTAGTCTTGAGTCTTCAAGGAAGAGATGCCATACCCAAAGGGGCCACCAGAGGCAGTCTCCGACTAAACTGACCAGGGTGTTGGCGCTTAAGTTATCAGTTCTTGGGCTTCCGACTGGTCCCCAATTACCACAAGAAATCGCCCACCTACTACTACAACACACAGCAACTGAAGAAGCGCCAAGACGCGGGTGATTGGACGTTTCTCTACAGTCTCAACGAGGTTCATATGGAGGACCCCGCACACTTTCGCAGGATTCTTTGGGAGCTTGCTGAACATTATTGGGGATGGCGTGCTCCGCATGTCCGCCTTGCACTACGGGGGTGAGACGCCCAGGGTGGTCGGACACAGAGCATTTGCGAGTCGCTGCTTGGCTCAGATCCCTTGCCCCGTCCTGGCCATTCGGCTACGGACGTGAATCCGCTCTAAAGCTGCCGTGGGTTCGTAGGTTTGCCATGGCCACACTGCCGGAGCATCTCGCGGCACCGATAGTCCTTAGGGCCACAGTTCAGGCAATACCGGTGCTCTTTGGCGTCCTATCTGCTACCACCCGACAGATGCTTCGTGCCATTGGAAGGCAAGAGCGCAGAGCTGCTGCCCAGGTGCTTCGACAGCTATATGCGGAATATCACAGCCGAGTCACTGCCTACTTGGCGACGCTCAATTTCCATAGTTTCCAAGCATCGACCGATTTCCAAGTGGCTGTGCGACTTGGCGTTCAAATACGTGCCACTATTGTGCAGCTTGAGCTGGAGATCGTTGTTGTCATCGCCTCCGTGTCCCGATCGGCATACAGAGCGGTCCAGGGTCTCTACGATGGGG